ACTGCCACCCTGCTGAGGGGACACTGAGGGGACACAGCCACCCCAGTGAGGGTACTGAGGGGACACTGAGGGGACACTGCCACCCCAGTGAGGGTACATGGGACACTGAGGGGACACAGCCACCCCAGTGAGGGCACTGAGGGACACTGAGGGGACACTGCCACCCCAGTGAGGGTACTGAGGGGACACTGAGGGACACTGCCACCCTGCTGAGGGGACACTGAGGGGACACTGCCACCCTAGTGAGGGTACTGAGGGGACACTGATGGGACACTGAGGGGACAGCAGCCACCCTGCTGAGGGTACATGGGGCACTGAGGGGGCACTGCCACCCTGCTGAGGGTACCTGGCCACTGAGGGGACACAGCCACCCTAGTAAGGGTACTAAGGTGACACTGAGGGGACACTGCCACCCTGCTGAGGGGACACTGAGGGGACACTGCCACCCTGCTGAGGGTACCTGGGCACTGAGGGGACAGCAGCCACCCTAGTGAGGGTACTGAGGGGACATTGGGGGACACTGCCACCCTGCTGAGGGCACCTGGGACACTGAGGGGACACTGAGGGACACTGCCACCCTGCTGAGGGGACACTGAGGGGACACTGCTGCCCTGCTGAGGGCACCTGGGCACTGAGGGGACACTGATGGGACACAGCCACCCTAGTGAGGGTACTGAGGGGACATTGAGGGGACACTGCCACCCTGCTGAGGGTACCTGGGCACTGAGGGGACAGCAGCCACCCTAGTGAGGGTACTGAGGGGACACTGAGGGACACAGCCACTCTGCTGAGGGTACTGAGGGGACACTGAGGGGACAGCAGCCACCCTAGTGAGGATACATGGGACACTGAGGGGGGGACAGCAGCCACCCTGCTGAGGGTAGTGAGGGGACACAGCCACCCTGCTGAGGGTACCTGGGCACTGCCACCTGGGGGGTGGAACTGCCATCTCTTGTACAAAAGCTTCTCAATGAATATTTTATTTAGAAACTGGAGTTTCCCTTAATTTCCGTGGATGCTTTTTCCCACCCAATGAGTTCCTGTAGCTGAGCTGGGGAGCAGCACCCCTCACATTGACTGAGCAGAGCAGAAATCTGGGTGTTGTGTTGTGGCCTCTCAGGAGTGCAGCTGACAGTGCAGATCCAGGATTAAGCAGCACTGAGCCAGGTTTAAATTGTGGTTGGGCTTAGAGGGAACTCAAGGAAGCTCCAGTAAGGATGTTNGCAGCAGCAGAACTGGCAGCCCTGGCTCTTCCTGGAGGTTGCTTGTTCCTCTGGTAGTGAGGAATTCAATTTATTGAATTTTGTCATGATTGACTCTTATTTAACTGCTGGCCCAGAACCATTTGGTGACTTTCTAGAACAGAAAGAGAAATAAATGTCCCTTTGCTACAAGTGATGCTGGGGTTTGCTGCCACAATGCCATTGGTGGCACTGAATTTAAAAGCTGGCTCAAACTCTTTGTTCCTTTGTCATTAGCTTTTTAAATGGGGTTACATAAACAGCCATGAATTTTCACTGAATGTAATCCATATTTCCAAAAATGGAAGTCCCTTCTAGAAGAAGTAAAGAGAAAAAAAAAAGGGAACAGCACATGAACTGAGAGTCCCAGTTCTGTTTTGCTTTTGGAAAAGGAGCCTTTTCCCTGGACAAAAGGAGCTGAGGAGAGGGCAGTGCACTTTGTGCTGTGCCTCTGAGGCAGGTGAAGCTCTCTGTGTGAATCTTTTGCTACTGAACACAGCCAAAATCACCTGTGCTGGAGCTTCCCTTGGGGTTTGGCTGTTCCCAGTCAGGTTGAGCCTGGTCAGTAAAGACAAAGCTGCTGTTCCATTTGGAGTTTGCCAGAGCTCACCTCCTGAGGTGAAGGTTCCTGAGAGCCACTTGACTTTGCAGTTTGGAACAGCTGAATTTGCACAGAAACACAGAATTTATAACACTTCAGATAGATCCAGGTTGATTTAATTCCAGCTGAACAACACAGAGTTATTCAGGTGCTGGCTGCTCAGCCTGCTCTGCTGTGGGCTACTTGAGGGAATTCCTTCCCACCTGCAGTTTCTTTGAGTTCTGTGTGTTATGAGATATTGGTGGTCTGAGAATCTTCTACACAAATTCAGCAAGTTTTATAAAAACCAATTTGATGTGAGCTGGCAGGGTGCGAGCTCAGGTGTCACCAGGATTTTCCTGCTGCAGTGCTGGGAGCCTGGCTTGTCCCAGTGAGCAGGGCTGGGGACCTTCATCCGTGCCTGGGGACAAATCCCTGGGCAGTGCCAGCCCTGGGCAGTGCCAGCACAGAGTGTGTGTCCCTCGCTCTCACAGCAGGACACAAGGTGCAATTCTTGTTTATCTGAGGATGCTTTCCTGACCTGCTGTGCTCTCTGTTCCCTTGCAAAGCCTCCTCCTACTCCCTGAAGGAGCGGGAGCAGCGCAGGCACCAGGCCATGTGGAGGGTGCCCCCAGACCTGAAGATGCTGAAAAGACTCAAAACCCAGATGGCAGAAGTTCGCAGCAAGATGTCTGATGTGAAGAACCAGCTGTCTGAAGTGAGGAGCAGCAATGCTGCCTCAGGGGAGGGACAGCCCAGCTTCTTCTCCATGGAGCAGGGCGCCCTGGCTGCCTGTGGCACTGACGGCTGCAGCAAGCTGCAGGAGATTGGCATGGAGCTGCTGAGCAAGTCCTCAGTCACCAGCTGCTACATAAGGAGCTGTGAGTGTGTGGGGAAGGGGATTCAGTCACCTCACAGGTGCTTCAGCTCCCAGGGCAGTTCCAGTTGAACCTGAGTATGAGGGAGATCAGGAATGTAAAACTGCCCTGGCCTTGCAAACGCCAGACTGGA